GACAAAAGACTTACTGCAGTCTCTGGGGACCATCTGGGGGTGGGCCCAATTAAAATTCTCTGAATTCCAGCCACACCTAGGTGACAAAAAATCACGGCATATATCACCAGAGAACATGGAGGGCTACGGACTTTGTGACACCCACCATAGATTTAATTAATACCAATTTTTCGCGCATTTTCGTCTTTTGCCGACCGACCGCCGCCCCGGGGTAACAAGAAACCAATTTGTCGGATCGGCGCGGGCGCAAATTGCAGCTGCGCCCCTGGCGCGCGCCATGTACCGAAAAATGGGTTAAAAGGTGCCGCGAAATGGCGTTCCGGGCCAGTTCCAACGGGTTGAACGTGTTGAACCTGTTGCCACACTGCGTTGCCCTAGAAATTGGATCCAGGGGCTACTGTAGTTTTTCGCCCTTAACCATTCTTCTCTCTCTCCCGCTCTCTCTCTCGCTCTCTTTCTCACGCGCTCTCTCTATCCCTCACTCCCTCACTATCTCTCTCTCTCTCTCTCTCTCTCTCTTCTCTCTCTCTTTCTCTCTCTCTCTCTCGCTCTCTCTTTTCCGAAATTTCGGAAGTTGGCAACCATGTGTTTCGGAAAATCCGATACTTTCCTATCAGCGGGGGAACGCGGTAGTTAGATTTATTGCCTCAACGCTTCATTTTTCTATGACTGCGTTTATGATCTTGAGATTTTTAGATAAATTTTCTTCCCTTTTGAATGACCAAATTTTACTAAAAAAACCATGAAATCCTCTATAATTCATTACCAAAACAGAAACCCTAATAATTGTGGTGTGCAAAATACACTGCTCCGCATCAATTTTATTGCACACTGCAGGAGAACGGTTTTTTGACCTCTGCAAAAAAATCGTCAGTATGATTGCTTTATGAAGCCTTTGACGTTTTTAGGTCAGCTTAATTGCACATAGACAACTTTACAGTGCAAACCCGCCAGAGAAAATTGGCCAATTTCGGCTTATGTGTTTCCGCGTAAGGGCTGAACAAAAATAGAACGCGTTTCTCAACTTCCCCACCTTCGCGTCGTCAAACGTGATGCTAAAAAAGTCGCTTGAATTTGAAGCATTTTCGTCTTTATCATCGGCAATACATGGCCAAAAAAAATGCATTTTTCTTATCTGAAAATTGCATAAACCGTTTAATAACGTTTATTTGTAGTAATTTGTAACGATCGTCCCTATAGAATGGCTAAAAACGAGCCCAAGTATCCATCACGTACATTAAATCCGCCCTGAAAAATACCACGTGCCTGGTTGTTAGGGACCGATCGGTATTAGATTTTTTGGATTTGATTTTCCGGCCCGATAAATGACTTTTAGCCAAGATTTACCGGAACGGAAGGCATAAAATTGCCGAAGCTCGAAGGATTTCTCAATCTCGCTCGCACTCTCTCTCTCTCTATTTATATCTCTCTATTTCTCTCTCGCGCTCTCTCCCTTGAATGTAAAACAACCTGTTTCAATCTCTGAATTACGGTGAAACAGTAGAAAAAATAAGCCCAGTTGATTTGATCATTTTTCAATTCCCCTGTTCATCTCTCTGGGTACAAGACTGAACAAACAATTTGTTCGCCACATTGTTTCCGTGAACGTTTATACAGTAGAGCGGCCAACTTTGTGTTATTGGTGCTTTGCGAAAATTAAACCCAAAAAAGGGGGATTTGCCCCATTCTGGAATCGGGATGGCATAGGAAAAAAATGCTTTGTAGTTCAGGCTTTGATTTGAATAACATTAATCATAGTAATTCCCCTGCGAATACGTGTGATTACTGTGAACAGTGGTTATATTTTGGAGGTTGCCATCAGGAAAGGGAAGTGCGAAAAACCGTACGGCTCTCTCCAAGAAACTAAAAATTTAGGTAAAAACTGTGTGGTATATACAAAATTTAAACAAACTGGATCTTCATCGAGGAATAAAAATAGATAAAGTTAGATTTTTACCTTTACGTATTTAGGGTATTTTCAAGGACCTGATTCCCTAAGCGCCTCGTATCCGGAAAAATGACGCATATTGTTTTTCCGGTTTTCCGGATGGTTCATTATATTTTCAAAAATACTAGTTTGAATGTTAATCACACTCCATTAATTTATTTAATTTTTCTTAAGTCACCATAGGTCCATTTTGACGCAATTCAAACTGAATTTTGCATCGATCAAATTAAACATAATCGCCTGATTTAATAAGCTTTTGACACTCGCACTTTGTCTCATCCCGAGAAACATGTTCTAGAGCTCAAAACCGCAGAAAAACCCGGCTTTTGTTTGCAACTTGTTGGCATTTGTCTTTTGGCGGAATGGCAGAGTTCTAGCCTCCCAGACCAAAGACCAGGGTTCAATTTTTTCTGGCGCTCCACGTTTTTGCTTTTTGCTTTTTGTCCAAAAACCCAATTTTCAGAGGCGAACGCTTCTTGGGGATCACCCCAAAAATTCATCCAGAAAAATACAAAAAGTTCAACTCGGCAACATTTCTCTGCCCCGATCTCCGCGATTCGTCTGCCTACCTGTTCGTTTCTGCTAATAAGGCGCTGGCGGGGCCCCGCGAGAAGCACCTGCGCAATTTTCGCAATTTTCGGTAATGCATCAAAAAAGTGATCCCCAATGCTGCACTTTTTCACCGTTTCGGGGTTCTGTTTGTTTCTAGAAAGCGCTGAGGACTTTCCAGGTTAGATAGCATATAACGGATTTTTTTTCTGTAAAGTTAGCATAAATCGGCTCTACTCTCTCCTTCCAGCTTTCCCTTTTCTTTTTTACATATCGTAACCGATTCCCTTTAAAGGGTTAAGAACCTGTAGAGATCATGCCCGGTCTATTATTGGCAAAAAGCGAACCTGTGAAGCTATTTGCCAATAATAGACGACGAAAAACGCGCAGCATGCAGGAGTAAAACCGTTTTTTCCCGATTTTATGCAAATTCACACGGGCCTTCCTTTTCCCTTTAAAGGGATAAAGAAGGCCCAGTTGATCAGGGCTCATCTCTAATTGGTAACGAGCCAACTGGAAATGCTGATGCAAAAAAAGGGTATAGAGCGAGGCAAGGCAGGCGAGAGCTGAGAAGATTTCAATTTCGGAACTTACACACGTTCTATGCTAATTTTTCCCGGGCCTTCCTGTCCCCTTTAAAGGACACGTTCAGGGACATTTTTGAAAAAAAGCAAAGATTTTTGCCGCGGACGGGGGTCGAACCCGGGCCACCCGCTCGGGGGGCGCGGATGGATACCAGTCAGCAACAACCTGGTGAGGGGGTGGGGGCGCCCCACGCCGCAAAGGAGGGGAATTGCCTGCCACGACACGGGCAGGCAGTGCGCGCGGTCCCTACGTCCATAGGGTGTACACGTTGGGACGAGTACACGGCCCCTCCCTGAACGTGCGCTTTAACTCCTTCCCCTATGGAGATACTACTGGAACAACGATACGGAAGTGGATGCAATGGGATCTTCATGATTTGGGTTATCGGTGTTTTTTTGGCTGGCTTTATCGTTTTCAGCCAACGAACGGGTCTGGCAACCTAGAAAAGCACCTGCAAATTTTTGCCCCTTGCCGGTAATGAGGCACGAGAATGTTGCGTGTGGCCATTTCTCATCATATGATGTCTATTTTTGTGGAGACAATTAGCTTTCTGGTGTGTCGAAGGCATGCCAAGCAAACCACAAAATACCGACGCTCCAAGAATACCGTCTGCGGCATTTTACATTTATTTGTCGGCATTACTGTACGGCCTTTTCTGCCTACGCGATTTTCTGGGAGTTGAGCTGCTGTGGTCGGGATCTTTGTTGTCCCTAAAATTCACATGGCCTCAAACTAGCGTATTATTGGATCAGGAATTTTAATATAGCTGGGGAAGACGGGAATTACCTTACCGCAAGACCGGATCAAAGAGTGAGAGAGCGAGAAGGAGAGCGATAGAGAGCGAGACAAAGCGAGGGATAGAGGGAGAGAGAGAAAGAGAGAAAAAACGAAACCGTAGCTAGTACACCTTTTCCTATCTACAGTCATGTACCTCGCTCGGCCCTGAACGTAAATTTGTTCCGGTCCGGTTCCGGATACCGGAAAGGACGTGCCGGGAAGTGAGTAATTTTTGAGGGGTCTACAGTACCATTGTACGTAGATGGCGTTGTACTTTTCGATTATTTTCCGCTCGAAGTACCTTAAAAAAGTCCAAAATTTGTACTTTTGATTGTTCGATGCTTCATTCAAATTTTTTGTGTTGTCTGTTTTCTGGCTTTTTGCTCCAGTTCAAATGAATTTCTATATATATTTTTAGTGGAAAATGGGTGGTTTTGTGCATTACCTGCTATCGACCGTCTTGACGGTGACGCTGCTCTCGATGCTGATCCTCAACATAAAAATGTCCAAGTTTATGATGGGGAAGAATGTGATACGGCAGGTTTTAGCACGCTTTAGAATTGGAAAGCATTTTTTTAAAATAAAACAAAAGTATTATTTTTTAGAAATAAAAATTCAGTCTACGTGGTCCTATTTTTAATATGTGTTGCGGGATGATACAGGAAGTGACTCATTTGGTCGCCCTCATCCCGGGATTATGGCTGGAGGTAATTAAATAACTATTTCTATAATTTTTCCTAGACGTTCAAAACATAGCAAAAATCAGACAAAAACAACTCAATTGATCAAATGATTTAAACGTTGTCTAACTTACAAAAAATATAAAAAAATTTTTTGGCGGTTTTGACTAATCAGCCCAAAAAATTTCAAGTTTTTTAAAATATTTTGAGTCTTCAACTTATGGCAATTTCTCAGGGATGAGACCTGAATTTTTGTATACGGTAGAATACAAAAATAAATACGTTACCAGGAATCCCCAATACAAAGTTTTGAATGCGTCGTTTCCACTAGTTTTCTTGGCCTCAAAACCTTATTAAAATTTCAGGGTCATTTTTAAACCAAAAACCCATTTTACAAAAGCTTCAGCACAAGCCTAGCATTAAAATTCTGGGAAAGCTTACAAAATTCCGTCCAATTTCAGATGACAATCTTCCCCCGTGACTCCGCTTTTACCATTTACGGCGCCTGGTTCGCACTCGGGCTATGGTATGCAAACAGCTACGTGCAGATATTGCTGGCCTTCAATCGGTAACCCTTAGAAAAGCATTGAACTCTAGAAAATTACACAAAATAGTAAATCAGCAGCGATAGAATAATTATGAAGCATGAATCATCATTTTTCCAGAATCTCGGCCATTTTCTTGCCAAAAATCCATGCGTGGTTTACGATTCGATTCGTTATTAAATGCTTGGCTGTCATTGTTATATTGTCTGCGGTTACGACCACTGTTACGGAATTGATGTCGCCGTGTTGCAGGTACGGTAGTGGCATCTAAATATCTCTCTCTCTCTCTCTCTCGCTCTCTCTCTGTCTCGCTCTCTCCCCCCTCTCTCTCTCGCTCTGCCTTTCTCTTTCTCTCTTTCTCTCTCTCTCCCTCTCTCTCTCGCTCGCTCTCGCGCACTCATTATTTGTTCCAGAATCTACATAGCTCCTCACAATTACGGCTACGACTACGCGCCGATCCATGGCGTCAATATGACGTTCAACTTTGCCAAGTTTTACATAGATTTGCCGTTTGAGGCTGGAGTCACCGCATTCTGTCTGCTTTCATACGGACTGGTACGTACTTTACTAATATCAAAAACGAATTTTTCCAGCTGTTCGTCTACATTCTTCACATGAAGTCCAAGATGGCCGGTAACAGCAAAGATTCTGGATATGAGATTAGGTGAAACAGAGTGAGAGAAAGAGGGAGAGAGAAGGCAAGAGAGAGCGCGCGTGATTGAGAGAAAAGAGTGAGTGTGAGAGCGAGAGAGTAGGTGATAGAGAGTGAGAGTTAGAGGGATATAGAGCAGGAGCGTGAGTGCTCAGAGAGAGCGAGAGACTAGGAGAGAAAAAAAAAGAGCGAGAGAGTGACGGTGAGAGAGAGGGAGGGAGAGAGAGAAAAAGAGTGATAGTGTCGGTGATAGAGAGTCAGAGACAGAGTGAGAGCGAGATTGAGAAGAGGCAGAGAGAGAGAGAGAGAGAGAGAGAGAGAGAGAGAGTGAGTGAGATGGGAGAGCGCAGTTACCTTTTAACAATTTTGTGCTTGAGGTGTTGCATTCAATGCGCTCTTGTCTGCGCCTTCTACATGGGTACCTGGGTGACAGTCCATATTCTGCCACTAACCGGAGTGAAGGCCCGCGAAGTCTACTTCCTCTCGCCAATGTCCTACCTCCTGGACACTGGCGTCAGCTCGTTAGTCGTATGGCTGAACGAGAAGGTGAGTAGAGAAAACGCGGTGGGTGCAGTGGCTTTTGACTGGCATGCAAGTACTAACAGCTTCCGCAGAAATAGCGTATTTCCTTCTGAATCAAATTTAAATTTACCATAAAACCAAAAATATGAGCTATTCCCTTTCTCAACTGTTTTTTTTGAGGTTTTTTCTTTTACCAATTTTAATTTTGACGTAAATTAAAGTATCTTTCTATTCAAAACTTAAATCTAGGATTGTGAAAAGTGAATTTATGCTCATGGAAATACGGTAACCTCACTAACCTGGCAAAATCCAAGTCCTTAGAGGTATTAAAGGGATCTGGAAGGCAAAATATTACACTCAAATTTCGATTAAATCATTTTCACGGCACGTCAGCGTAGCTGAGCGTTTTTACAAACCTGAAACTGAAAAATTTAGAGGGGGGGACGTTACCTTACCTTACCCTAGCGTATCCGACCTAACGTTACCTCAAAATTTCTATCAAAATGATTTAAGCGACGCACGATCCGGCGGCTGTCTCTAGCAACAGCCCAATTCGGGCGAAAGATGACGGTGATCTGCTTGAATTTTTGGTTTTTTTGCAGGGTGCCATTTAGGTTTATAAAAATAGTAATTGCCCGATACCATAGTTTGCCTTCCTAATCCGTTTAATGCGGAATGTGAGATGACTCTTTGCTTGCCACACGTCCCCCCGAAGCGCACCTAGGAATGGAAGGGTATGCGGGGCGGCGCGGTCGCGTCGCGATAGGGAACCGCTTACGCGGGCGATTGGGTTCACGTGCTTTTCCGCTCAAAATCACGTGCAATTGCGGCGGTTCGTCGCCTAAAACGCGCGCCAGCGACTGTACCCCCTGCCCAGGCCTGCCAATTGGCCAAGGACACCCTTCCAATTCTGGGTGCGCTCCAAGCTGGGGTCGGATCCTAGTGACCAAAAGCACAACAACCAAACGCTACGATACACTCCTCTTTACACCACATTTGCATGCCGTGATGTGCTAATTTTTTTTTTTTGGAAATATCGTAATCTCAATTTTTTTCAGGCTCGCACGGCCAGCTACAAGCCGAATGGTGTCGGCACGGGCGCCGCCCCCAGCGAGGCCACCGAGACGCTGGCTGGATAACCCCAACAATTTGCATATTTCTAGAAATATTTGTACATTTCTATGCTTTGATAAATATTTATATATTAATTTCTGGCAAAATTTTTACCGAAAATTCAAAAAAGCAATCAGCGTGAAAAAGCGTCTTTTTTACAAAATTTTCTACGGTATCCTGATATATGTAAATTTGGCTAAGTTCGCATACGGAAATTATTTTAAAAATAGCTACTTTGAAATGAATAATTCCAAATCGCGAAAAATCAGCTTAAAAAATTTGTTCTTGGCAAAAAGATTTTTGTGTGTACAAATTGTATAGTACGCTACAGTACGCTGCAGTACGCTACAGTGCGCCACAGTACTCTAAGCGGAATTCTGCAGAGAATAGTTATTACAATGTAAATATATTTTTTTGCTAAAATTTTATTTTCAAGATTTATTCATCAGAAGACCAATTTTTGGCAATATTTCTCGAAGTTGAGGCCATCTACAGTATGCAAGCATGAGTGAAAAATAGGAAACCAGCCCCCGGCTACAGTACTCATCACAGAAGGCGCGTCATTTTGTATAAACCCGGAAACGTGGATTAAAGGGACAATGACAGGAGATTGGAGAGAAAGTGAAGCGATAGCGTATAACTGGATTATTGCTGGTGGGATTACACAAAAACACACAAAGAAATTGACTTTAAAAATTCAGAATTTGATTCGGTATTTTCCCAATTACAATATCTTCTTAGAAGAACGGCGGGTTGTTGAAATTCTAAAAATTAAATCATCGATTACCCCATGTATACCTGGAATTACCTGATAGTTAGACTGCGTATTATTGAAGTAGGGTTGGGCAGGCGGTTGTTGCAAGTTTTGCTGCGGAGTTGCGCGATTCTGAAAATCGGAGATTCTGATGAAAAATTACAGTTGGATTCCAACGTTTGTTGTTATTTCTGTTTCTTAGCCTTAGCCCTCCCCGGATAACAGATCAGTACTTATGGTTCTTCTAGTAACTTAATATGACATAAACTTAAATGGCAAAATTCATATGCTGAAGTTGTCCAACATTTTTGCGCCACGGAAACTTTTTCGGTTCGAATGGCATTTTTTGAATTCCAAAGCACCTCAAAACAGGTCGATTTTCAATTCAATTCAATCAAGTTAAAGAAATTTTTATCGAATTATAACATTAAAAACAGCCTTTTCTAACGTTTTGCAATTTTTTTACTTTTAAAAGCGTAACCGTATTTTCTTAAAAACCGAAAAATTTATTTTTTACGATTTTTCGGTTTGCAGATTTTCAAGATTTACGAAACATTCGCATCGCTTTATTTTAATTCTATATTTTTTTATTAATGGCTAATTTTTAAACTTATTTATCGATGTTTTGCACCAATTTACCAACCATCTGCATGCCACTATTTGATCCCGTCATTCCCATCTGCCCGCTGTAGCCCAGCTGTTGCTGCTGTGGCTGAGACACCTGGAAATCGGCGCGGAATTACGGGAGAATAAATTGGATTTTTGTCCTTTTTCTCGAGTTGCGTTTGCTCCGCTAATTGGCACTCTTTGCTGCCACCTACGTGCCAATACTCTTTGCAAAAACCTGGGCCAATTTTCGCAATATGCTAAATAATCTCTGGTCCGCTCGGAGGACAAATTTTATGCTAGACGTAAAATTTACGTCCATAAAACCTCAAAAAAATTCAAAAATGAATTTAAAATCCCTAGAGGACCCGCAAAAACTTTGATTCTGCATTTTTGGGACATCACGGATTCTGCGTAATTCTGGGGGGATCAAAAAAGCGTTGAACCCACGCGCTTGTAATTTATTGGAATTCTTTGGGGATTTGAAAAACGTGTTGGGTATTCAGGTTGATGGTTTGAGGCTAAATTGAACCGAGCTGAATCATGGAATCAAAAATTAAAAACGGCATTTCCAAATGTTCAATGGTTTTGGGGGCTGGGGGGAGGGTGCGTTTTTGGTACAGGCGCGATTAGGGGGATCACGGGACTTTGTCTTTCTAGAGATTGCTAGGGGTTCGGAAATAAATTCAATAAAGGAGCAGATTCAATCAACTATAATAATTTTCTCGACGCGTCTGTCCGTCCGTCCGAAGCCGAATTCAACTCGAAGGGGAAAGGAGCTAGAGCTTAGCTCGCTTCGGATTCCGATAGAGCGTGGTCAGAAACCCGCAAACTGATAGAAAAATTATGAAAAAATTTTAGTTTAAATTATTAAAATTAGCTTTGAAAGTTTTTTCCTTAGTAAAAGGGGTGGTGGACGGATGTTGGGGTGATGTTGGCCATAGTGAGCCAGGTCGCGCGCGTTTCGTGGATGAAAATTGTCACGGGAGCCATTTCCTTTTTCTCCCACGTATCCGGTCGGTTGTTATTTTTGTTTTTTTAAAGGGATTTCGGCTATGGGGGGTATCTGCAGCCATCAGGAAGGTATTCAGGTAGTTTATGAAGGGGATTTCAGCTATGGTGGGGGGGACGGGAGCGGGGGCGGGGATGGGGTATTGATGGAGGTAGGGAAGGATATGGTGGAGTAGGAAATCTAGGGTAGCCCGAAAGCCTGAGGGTAACCATCTGGTAATTTATAGACCAAGGTAATATTAGTGTCCTAGAAATTTCGAAATAAAAGAAAAATAACTAGGCCAATTCATGGAGCTAACGGTCTGTGAAGGATCCATTTTGATTTTTTGTTAGATTTTCAGGTCATGAAAATGTTTGCCTTACCGGGGGGGGGGGATCGTGAGCAAACAACCCCCTTTCTTTAGTATCTTTTTCTTTCTTTTCTTTCTACACTATTTTTTTACTATTCCGATGCAAAAACCTTAGCAATATATTTTATTAAAAAGGGTACGAAAGCATCGATTATGTTTTTAGATTATTAGGTACCCGCAGAATGGCTTACGATGCGGTACTATCACGATCCTAGTGCGTTACGGTACACTAGAATCTACAACGCGCAACGCAACGCAACACGACGTGGCCGCAACGCATATCAACCTCTAATTTTAAGACTCACTTGTTGCCCATAGCCTGGCTGCATGAACAGCTGCTGCTGCTGCTGCTGCATCAGTTGTTGTTGTTGTTGTTGAAGTTGTTGCTGACGTTGGAGCTCTTGCTGCTGTTTTAGCTGCTGCTGACGTTGCAGCTCCTGTTGCTGTTTCAGTTGCTGCTGCCTTTGAAACTCTTGCTGCTGCTTTAATTGCTGTTGCCGTTGCATCTCCTGTTGTTGCTGAACTTGCTGCTGACGCTGGAGCTCCTGCTGCTGCTGAGCTTGTTGTTGTTGTTGTTGCTGAAGCTGGAGCTGCTTCTGTATCTGCTGTTGCAGCTGCTGTTGATATGCGCTCGGCTGGGCCATTTGAGTTTGTTGTTGTTGTTGTTGTTGCAGTCTTGACTGGCTATTCGGCATAATTTGGCCCATATTTTGCTGTCCCATTTGAGGTCCGGCCATCTGGAAGCCCATCGAGTTCGAAGAGTTCAGCTGTTTTGGAGGGGAGAAGCCGCCGTATTGTTGGGGATTCTGGAAAAATTGCAAAATTAATCCATAAAGAAAAGAGTGAGAGAGAGAGAGACAGAGCGCGCGAAAGAGAGAGAGAAAGCTGCGCGCTGTGTTTGCAACGAACCTGTTGCGGCTGCGGAACGGCTTGACCTCCAGCCATTTGATTCATCCGCATCTGGCTCATCTGACTATTCTGCGGCGACTGGCCATAGCTTGACTGGGGGCTTCCAAAATTGAAGGCCCCGGAAGGGCTGGCGCCATGCTGGCTCGGATGGCTGTTATGGCTCGTATGGCTCATCGGGCTTGAGGTCGGTAGATTTCCATAATTCATCGGGCTCTGGGTGTGAGAGCTGGAATACTAGTCGTATCATAACCCATTTTGCTACGGCAGAATAGCTGTCGAGACCTAGCCTCCCAAAGGCATCGATTCCAGCGTTTCCAGTCCCTTTAGAACCCAAAAATAACTCACTAGGCTGGGCTCTGGGTCTGGAAGTTTTTGATCGGTGACCCTCCAGCTTGGCCAGCAATGTTGTGGCCCGAATTCTGAAGGGAATAAATCAAAAATTCTAAATGGCAACATATCTGCACAAAACGGTAAAACTTTTACCGATTTGCGAAGAAAAACATAAAATTAAATTCACGTTCTTAAAGGGGCTACGAATTGCCAAAAATTATGTGACGGCCCGAAAATCGGAGCCCTGTACGTCGTAGGCCTCTGTACACCCAGGGGCGCGGGAAGCTCGCAAATTTGAAATTGCCTGTTGTCACCTCGAAATCACGTTCTCGGCTGTTTCTGGGCCAAATTTGATGCTTAAAACACCAAAACTATTTAAAATTGAGTGAGGATTGAAAAATGGGCTCAGAAGGCGCAAATTTTAGTGTTTTCACAAAGAAACCGAGCAAAAACAACTTCGCGCAAAAATCGATAGAGTGAGGGCTCTCGTCCCGCAGCGCCCGCTGGCAATTTGCCAGAAATCAAAGAGGCCTCCCAACAGGGCTTTGATTTGGCAGTTCGAAGCCCCTTTAATAATTTTGCTGACCTGTCGCTGCATCGCCGGAGAGCCGGAATACATAGAGCCTCCAGAATTCATCTGGATCACCGGTGAAGCAGGTTCGTGGTGGATCAATGGCTTGGTTTCGACTTGGGAATTTTGTTGCGAGGAATTTGTATTGCTGCGGTGTCGAGGTGATTCTTGGAAAGAGGAGATCCAATCGAGATTGGTGGTTGGTTGAGCTGGTGGTGTTGGGACCGATTCCTTAAAAATAAAATAAAATGGGAAGTTCTTTTAAAGGCACGAGCAAGTCATGGCTAAGGTTTTTGTCAGTTCGTGATTAGCTATGGATTTTGCCTCACCGCGATACGCAACACGACACTCATGTCTCTCTCAGCAGCTCTCCCTCTCTCTCTCTCTCTTTCTCTCTCTCACACTCTCTCTCACGTTCTCTCTCAATATCTCTCTCAGGATCTCTCTCTCTCTCTCTCTCTCTCTCTCTCTGTCTGTCTGCCTCACCTGCTTTATCGCCACCGCCGCCTTCACAGCTTTGCGTTGCTCTTCCGCCAGTTTTGCCTAAAACACAGTTCCTATATCCAACTTTCTCGGTATTTTCAGGCAAAGTACGACAGAGTGAAGGAGTGAATCACACGTCAAGCATTAACAGTAGGGTGTAGAAGTCCATGCATTGATTAAAGGGACTTGCAAGGCGAAAAACTTTAGCTTTTGTATTGACGACGATAATCGACTGCTTTTTTTTTGCCTTCCATGTCCCTTTAAAATCTTGAATTGTGTCGGTCTCACCCTCTTATCGGCTTCAGCTCTCGCCTCGGCCTCCTGCCTCTCCGGGTCCTCCTCATCCAAATCTTCCATCAATGCCGCCATCGCCCGTTCTTCTTCCTGATTTTAGGAAATTCGTGACGTCGTTTAATTGGAGCGGTGGAAGTAGAAGCGTTATATATTTCAGACAGCGCTTCCGGTCGTGTTTTTGGCTTTTCACCATGCATCATCACAAAAGCTGGTGGTGGTATAAGCGCAATTTGCATGGACATTTGGGTAAGAGTTTACTTTACCCCCCCCCCCCCCACAGCCGAAGGGTCTCAAAGTTTTCGGTATTTTCGCTTATTTTGTCGGGATTCTTGCAACGCCATTCGATAGAGCGTCGAAAAATACACTAAGATTTTTAATTTGAGCCTACAACAATGTAAAATAAAAAAGTTATAGCCAAAAACTTCCGGCTGGGGGGGGGGGGGGTAAAGCAAACCGTAGCCAACATTTGTATGCATAAAACACAACTACAAACACACAACGGCAACTTGGCTATTGGCGGAATCGAGCAAATTTAAATTTTCTTTTGCAAGCGACAAAAAAAGGCTAATTTCACTGATTCTGGGACTTATTTGCATTCCTGAAACCGTCAACTTCAAACGATGTTTTCAAGTAATTTAATTGAATTTATCCGTCGCTGAACATTCGATGCATTTTCAAGCCGATGCCCATGCTTCAAGCACGAATGATTCAATCAATCATACCTCTCGTAGCTGCTTCTCCCGGAGTTCTTGCTCCCGTTTTGCCTTCTCGGCGGCTTCCCTGGCCCTTTGGGCTTCCAGCAGAGCTTTTTCTTCGGCGAGTTTCTTCTGACGGGCTTCTTCCTGAAAATGTCCGGACCATCAAGCGTACTTCCAATTTTACACGTTTTCATAGCTATTTGAAAAATTTCCTAAATGATCTCCACTAGCATGCCTAACGTTACTGAGACTTTTATCAATACTCAAAATTCAGGTAAGTAATCGCAGCCCACCTCTCTAGACGCCTGTTGAGCCATTTGCTTCCGTAGCTTTTCTTGGGCCTCTTGCTCAGCGATACGTTTTTGACGTTCCTCCTCGATTCGTCGGGCCTGCATTTTTATTAGTTGCTTACCATGGTGTAACGTACCTTTTCAGCCTCTTTTTGCCGTTGCTTCTCCTCCTTTTCCTTTCGTTTTTGTTCTTCTTTCTAAATCACGGCAAACTCGAAAATTTCTGTTTGCATACCTCAAGTCGGGCTTTTTGCGCGCGCTCTTCTCGCTAAAATAAAGGTTTTAAAACCAGAAATTCAAGCAAATTGCTGATATTTTTGTCATAAATTCTCGCGTACCTCCTTCCGTGCCTTCTCCGCTTCCTCTTTCTGAAAAGTAAAATATTAGATGCAGAATTTAGTTTTGAAAACTGCTTGACTCATCTAAAAAAAGTTCCCACCTCCTTCTTCAGCTTCTCCGCCAGCTTCTTCATTTTTTCCTCGGCTTCTTTTTGAGGGGATGGGGTGGATGGGGCAAGGCCTTGTTGCTAAAAGAAAATATATTTTTTTTGTAAAACGCTGATAGCCCTCCTAAACGAACGCTGCTTGCCTGCCCAGTTTTTGGCTGATAAAAAGTCACAAAAATCTTAAAAACAAACCATCAATTGCAGAGCAAGTGGGTTACTCTTAATCAGCATTTGTAGCGGTCCACTTCTTTTCGGGTCCTGGAGGGCCGAGAAGAGTTGTTGACTCGAGGAATAGCCGATTAACTGAAAAAGGTAAACTAAAGGTTTTAGGAATACTGGAATCGACCCCTTCCCTGAACTAGGTCTCGACATTTGCGGTGCACGCAAAACCGGCAAAAACGTCGTCGATTTAACAATTCCTAGTCTCTTTAGAATAAAACTCTCTTGTCCTACCTTTGCCACCTTCTCGGCAACTTCGAGCTGCGCACTGTTCACCGTAGGGAGGGCTGACTTGCTTGGAGTAGGTGGCTGAGAAGTACTCGGCTGCTTTGTTGGTGTTGATGTGGTGGTGGTAGATGAACTCGGTTTTTGAGGCAATAACGTTGGCATGGTAGACGTTGACGTTGAGGGCTTGGAAATCGATGCTTCTGGCTTCTGGGGCTTTGCGGCTCCATTCTGAAACGGTTACAGTACAGTTCGAAGCCAGTAGTTACTTATTTTTGCTTATCTCTCTCGGCGAATAATAAAACCTTGGCCCTGAAAACCGAGAAACTAAAAATGCCGACATTGGAAATGCCGACAGCCGAATGCCGACAAGGTAAAATATCGACGTTCATTGTACCGACACGGAAACGAGTTTCTGCGATAGCTTTTTGCTGGCACTTTAGTGGTTTTGGCTTTTCGGTATTTTGGCTTTTGGACTTTGTTCTGTCGGTATTAGATTGGCCCAGACATGGGACAACCCCAAAAACCCAAACAAAATAAAAACATAAAAATGTTTATATAACCAAGAAAAATCCATAGTTGAGCATTAATGAGAATCAGGTTGAAGTTGAGGTTCATGAAATTGGCTTGAGGTTGTAGGACCGGAAGATAGCGGAAAACCGGAAAAGAAACCGTGAGGGACCGGGAAATTTTGGAGGGATCGAAAATAACAACAAAAAACAACGTTAACAGCAGATTACAAAGATTCAAATTAATCAAAAAATTTAGTCGAGGGTGATCGTAGAGCTGTTGGCGTTTGAGGTGGGTACGGTAGCGGGGCGTAGCGGAGCGCGAGGCGTTGAATTCTGAGGAGTCGATGATGTTTTTCCCATAGCTTCTTGCTCGGCACGACGCTGAAAAGAAACGGGGACTACTTTTGTCGATTGAAAAGGCATGTTTGATATTCCCGAGTTTAGAATAGGATTTATGACGTTACTTTTACAGATAGTTTCTAGTATCGGGAGGAATAGGGAGCCAGGAAATGTTGCAATTAAGTGGAAAAATTTGCTAAAATTGTATAGCCGATTTCCCTAAATACAGTAACCGGAAAAACCCGAACAGCGGGATTAGGTTTCAAAAAAATATGGATTTGGCGAGTGAATTTTGACCGTCTTGAAAAATATTCGCATGGAGGATTATGCCTAAAATACAGGATTACTGTAATGTTGAAGTCTGATAATTTCTATAATAAATTAGATTTTTTTCAAATTGGTTAAATTTTGGGATATCACTAATTCAAGTAAAATTGGGTAGTGCCGGTAAAAAATTTAAAGATTCAAGGAAAATAAGAAGGATTTGAGGAGGATTTTATGAGGGTGAAAAAGTTTGGCAAATTTTAATACACTGAATACGCTTCGAAAATATTTTGTATTTTTTAATATCATCGGATATTTATCAAATTTGCCTTTTTTCGTCTAATCCTTAAATTTACAAAATGGGAATACCTCACGCATTTTCCCTCGACCACACGACACCCACAAAAATATACATAAAAAATATAGAGAAAGCCAGTGAAAAATCATGGAGACAAATAGTGTCATGCCGGGGGTTGTCACGGGGAATTTCGGAAGTGTAGGGAAGGGGATTGTGGAACCCAAGATGACCCAAAAAAGACAACCAAAAGAAAACTCAAATACTCTTGCGGATACCCACCATGACCAGGGCGTCGGCATCCGCGATGGTTTGCTGGAGATCCTTGCCAAATGAGTCGTCAGCCGTTTTCAGGATTCGTCTGCAAATGGGGGATTAGAGAGCAAGAGAGGGAGAGAGAGAGAGAGAGAGAGAGAGAGAGAGAGAGAGAGAGATAGAGATAGAGATATCCAAAAACCCACTCTTCCGAAATGGATGGGTGCTTCTGATGAGCGATGCGGATCATTTCGTAGAAATCCTGAAAATCGATAATTTTGAAGAGTACAAACAACTAAAAAGCCGAATAAGTCAACCGTTCATTCTATGATTGTATAAATCTTGAGATGCTTAGATTGTATAAACCATACCTCTTGCATTTTTCCAGGTTCGCAGCCCGCCTCCTTTTTAGCATGAGCGTTCAGGAGGGCATAAGTGGCTTGGGTGACGGCTTTTCTAAAAATTTATATTTATAGGCTTAAAATACGATGTTTATATTTAAACTGCATGTAATATATAAATGATCTTTGTAACTAAAAAAGTAGCTTACTTGAATTTCGCAGCAGCGGCCGTCATATCCGGCTTCGGAGCATTTGGAGTAGTCCTGAAAATCGCGTTACATATTGATCTCACTCACCTTGTCTATCTTTCTCTCTCACACTTTTATCTCTCATCTCTCTCACTCTCACTCTCTCTCTCTCTCTCTCTCTCTCTAACTAACTCACTTTTGCGTGATCGCGCTGTACGCCTCCAACATGGCGAGCTCGTTCATCGCGTCGTCCATCATGGCGGCAGATTTCTGGCAGTGAGGGTTGATTTTCGCAGCCGGTTTTGAAGCAGCCGCAGTCGGCTTCGTTGGCTCAGCTGGGGTTGGCTTCGCAAGCTCCGGACGCTTGGCAGGTTCAGCTACCACAGCTTTCGTGGGGCTTTGCGGTTTGGGTTTTTCGATGATGAAGATGTCGGGGTCGGAAGCTTCGGTAGTAGCGGCAGGTGCTGCTGAAAGTTCAGAAATTTTAGGAAGAGAGGGCGAGAGAGAGCGAGAGAGAGAGAGAGAGGACGAGAGAAAGCGAGAGAAAGAGCGTGAAAGAGAGAGAACGTTAACAACTTACGTTTAGCCGCCGGCTTTTCCACCACACTGCTGCTGCCATTTTCATCGGCATGACCGCCTTTCGGATTATCACGAGCCTTGCGGAGCCTGAAATATCCGCGTTACTCGATAGTTTGTAGTCCATAGCTTTGGATTTGAATAGTATGCAATTTTGAAGACGTACCTCATATAAAGCGTTTGCTTCTGCATCCCGACATGTTCGGCAATTTGGCGGATGTAGTGGCTCCTTTCGTGGGTATTCAATTTTTCACGGATCATGTTGTCCTCGATTCTGGAAAAATTAGTCTGGTTTGATGGCAAATAAATGGATCCCGAATGGAAATCAATCTTCAATGAAATACTCAAAAGCCGGGTTAACTTACTCGATGACCATCATTACTTGTTCGGGTGTAAGTCGCTTCTTCTTCTCGAGCATAGCCGCACCCTTGGTTTGCTGAAAAGCGCTTAATTGCGATTTGATTCAAATTCACCGTTACGGTTCCAACCAGATTTTTTTAATTTAATCAATTTAATTTAATTTAATTTAACCAGATCAATTTTTAAATCATTTAAAAGGGCGTTAAAACTATAATAAATTTCGGCTGAACTCTGGTTTACCCCAGCCGTGATTTTGACTATTTACCCCATTTATTTGCATTTTCCGATATCTTTTTACCAAAATGTGGCGTATTATTGATTATTAGACCAAGAAAAACGTCTTTGGACACGACCTAGCTATTTATTGATGTAGATGTAGAATTTAGATCCAGCTCCTACCTTCATAAACGTAGCAATAAGCTTCTTCGTCGCCTCGCTGATCTCGTTGCGCTTTTTCTTGGGATAATCCGACGGTTCGGTTTCTCGGTTCGCATCTCTGGATGAGCTCGGACCAGGGGACCCCGACCTGCCATCCAATGGTTGGAGCTCAGGCTCAGATCCGGAACCCTCATCGGAATCCGATTCATCTGACGATTCGCTGTCCATAACTTGCTCGGCCAGTTTTCGTAGCTTAGCCTTCTAAAAAAATGAATTTTTAGATCGGATTCAGAGCCTAATCTGAAGCTGAATATCGATGGTACCGTGAAAAACTGACGTCATGTCCTTCTGAGGCTAGCGCTTCTAGCTTCCGTTTCTTCCTGAATTCTCGCTCCTTTTCATAGCGCTTCTCCATTTCGACAGCTTGTCTCTGAAAAATAGAAATATTAGGAAAGAGAGTGAGCAAGAGAGTGAGCAAGAGAGAGAGAGAGAGAGAGAGAGAGAGAGAGAGAGAGAGAGAGAGAGAGACAGAGGCAGTGAGAGAGAGCGAGAGAGAGCGATGCGAATGAGAGAAAGGAATAGAGCGATAGATTGAGAGCGAGAGAGGAGCGTGAGAGAGCAGAGAGAGAACGAGAGAGAGAGAGAGAGAGAGAGAGAGAGAGAGAGATAAGACAAGGAAAAAAAATCGTGCAAAAAATTAGGGAAAACTCACAAGTGCCTGCTGCTCCGATTTACGTGCTTCCGCGTTCGGGTCGTCGAATGGGCCGTGTTTTACTTGGAGGGTACCACTGAAAAATTTTACTTATTAAAAAACGTACTTAAAATTGTGTAGTTTAAAAAACAATTCTACATGGCGTATAGCTTTGGAGCCAGCTGAACGCGGTCCAAAAAAATCGAATATCGGTTGGCCGTATAAGTTGAAGGGAACAAGGAAAAGTGGCGCGGTGGAAAGAAACCGACTTGCAAATGAAGAAGCCGCCCAGCGAATCGATGTAGGCCTGCGGGATCGGGCGCTCGTCCTGTAAAACAGCGGGTTTTTACGGCTGTGAAAAACGGAACATTGCCAGCTATCTCTCTCGCTCTTTCTCTCTCTCTCTCTCCCTGTCTCTCTCTCTCACCTCCGGATCAGCATCGTCAATGAACGGATCATCCACGTCGTATCCGCCGTAATGAACGTCCGTTTCTTCTTCGACCGATGGTACAGGCTTCTAAAAGATATGAAAATTAATGAGGTCGGATGCCTAGGCCCAAGCCCGAGCCGAAGCCTAAGTCTAAGCTAAGCCTAATTCAAGCGTAAGCGCAAGCTGACGCTGAAGGCTAAAACTTACCCATTGCCCAGAGCAGGCAAAGTCTAGCTTGGCTTGGTACTTGGCTTTTCCTTCTGCCGTCTTGGCCGAATCGACTTTGTCCTGAAATGCCCTTTTTTTCGAGGGAGCGAGATAGATAGTCAGAGAGAGAGAAGGTGAGAAAGAAAACAAAATCATACCTGAAGCTCCCGCATCACGTCTCCGTTAAAAACCGGGTAATCATTGCCAGTGGGCTTGAACAGCTTCAGGTCGAACGAGTAGGCCTTGCCCGGCTTGAACTTTTTGCCTCTGAAAATAGAAATATTATTTGGATCAATTTCCCTCTCTAGCTCTCTCTCTCTCTCTCTCTCTCTCTCTCTCTCTCTCGCCTCGACTTACTTATTAAAATTGAGATCCATTTTTCACGGCCGGTGGGTTGGCCAGGTAGGTTTAATTTCCTGGAAATTTGCATTACAAATATGATTGAACCACAGTCAATATAGAAAACCACTTAAAAAGCGTTGAATATGTATACCACAGTGCGGCATAAATATATAGATTTTTCCGTATGCAAATTATCCAAAACAGGGCGGAACGGAGCAAATATCTATCGGAACCGCCAAATGACCGAGCATTCAAGGTAAAAAAATGGATAATCTTAAAAAACTGCGCAAAATCGCATACGAATGGTAAATTGTTCAGCTACTGTATAATCCTTAGGCCGGTATATTGATTTTTCCGTATGCAAATGGACTAAAAAAGGGAAAGAGGAACGACTCATAGGTATCTGAAGTTTTACGTCCAACCTCGACCATCCAAACTTTAAAAACGGAATCAACCCAGAAAAATTGATAAAATCATGCGCCGTTTTCTTCGTTCAGGCTACCTTTGCCGTATGCAAATTGACGAAAACAGAAATGAAAGAAAGAGGAACGACAAATGAGAATCTGAAGCGCTGTAAAAACAGAAAAATTTTTGCCAAAACAGAATTGAAACCTTGAAAATCGATAAAATCAAGCGCAGCTGGTTTCGAGCAGCGCTATGCTTTTATTGGCTATGGGGTCAGTGCGCGCGCGAGGGGAAGCAGATGGTCACTTTCCATTGCGTGTATGGGCGTGGATAGTAGCGTTGCGTAGCCGGGGCGGTACTTTTAAGCTTGATGGGAAGATTCCATTGGTGCACCCAGAGAGATTGATAAGCTACAAGATCCAACTTTTGACGTTGATAACAGTCCTTGACTATAATGCATTAATAGACAACTAATCGATAGGAAAGCACAGCCACTTCCTCTGTAAAGCAAAGGAATAATGAAATTGGTTTTTTAAGGGATAAACCGGTTTCGTGCTTTGTTTTCTTTCGAAATGCTTTGTCAATGATGTGATCCCCTTTTTTGCGCTTAGTTTGGAGTTTTTAAGCGATTTATCGTAACCGTAATCGAATTTATAGATTACTATAAATACCGGTAACCGTGAAGAAAATGCCACAAATGAAAAAGGCCACATCTGACCACACATGCTGGGCGAAATGGAAGAAGTCCTGCTTTTCAAGGATTTCAGGCAAAAAGGTGGCCGCGTGGATGCAAGCAGGGATGGTGAAGCCGAGTAGACAACCTAAAAACGTTCTTTTTCGCGAATTTCGAATTTAGCGCATTTTCAGCACTATTTCGTAAAAAATTAACCCTGAAAGTTTAAATTGCAACTATTAACTTACGTTAAATTAAAATTAAAAAGGGAAAGGTTCAATTTCGTTAAAACGTTGGAATACCTGCGGTGACGCCAACCAGTGAAGTGATTCGTCCTAAATTCGGCACCAACACGGCCAGCAGGACTAAAAACGTTCTGAAGATTGTAGATATTTACATACAAGCCGCAAAGACAACGATGATGCACAGGATCCTTTCACAGGTCCCGGGGAATCGAGTGACCAGAGTATCACCAGAAAATTTTTTCTAAATATGGAATCAGAGAAATTGAAGCAAAAAACGACCGAAACGCGCTTAGAGCATGTTGCGTGTTCTTTTTAGCACTTCCTAACAACACGCATCGCGCACGTACACGATGCCACGATTAAAAGCACGGACAGCAAATTAAGTTTTGTTATTTTACCTGTATCCAAGGCCACGACATATCAATCACGATAAAGTGTTGGATTAAAAATGTGGTGAATACGGATAGGACGAGGAAGACACGGATGTAAAAGTAGAACCTGGAAATCGATAAACGACTTTAAAAACGAGCACGAGAGCTCACGTCGTGTCCGGCAAGTTTAGCGTAATCGCGCCCCTGACAGCATCTCCATACTTCAGGTAGCCAAAGAAGCCAATGAGACCGTATACTGAAAGAGAAGGGGAGATTGTTGCAGCCAGTTTTGTAAAAGTCCTACAAAGTGTCAAAAATACTTACGAATTGTAACTACAGAACATCCGATGGACAGTACGCCTCGAGAACCAAGCATTTGCCGGGGTTGTCGCATTTTATTGGCAAGCGGTAGGACCTCGAAATTATCAGTTAGCTCTCTCTCTCTCTCTCTCTCTCTCTCTCTCTCTCTCTCTCGTGTTAAGCCTCAAACTCACAATCGCCTGGCAACAAAACGCGTAGATAATATTGCCAGAGGCGGATATAATCGAACCGGCACTAGTGGTGACAAGTATTTGGCCGGATGCATAGGGTGGGCGGACCAAGTCCTAAAATATGCATTAAATTGATTGAATTAATGAACGATATAGATGCTAAAACCTATAATGATACTAGAAGCAAGTTACCTGGAAAACCATCAACATTATAATGATCATTATAACGTTTCCAACAGCGGAAACACGACTGATAAATCGGAGATCTCGAATCATTACGATCAGACATAGACAGAACACAGAGATGAATAGAAAGCTGGAGTCTGAGATTTCATTTCCAGGAAGAAGCCTTGCAGCTATCTGAATATATTATTTTCATCGTCGGGATAAGTGAGAAACGCTACCTCCTGGAGATGCTCCTTAATAAAAACCATATAAACCGCGGAGGCCCCAAGTTGCATTGAAATTATAGCGGTGTTGGTGAAGGTTCTGGAATCGGATTAAACGGGCTGGACAGCAAGGGCTTGCGTTTTAAAAGGACCAGGAAGCCAGTCTATCGACTTCTTTCGTCTACTGACATCGACAGCTACGCTTCACTCCGAAATACGCTCAGATAATTAAAAAAAAAACGTTTTCACAAGTTTTAAATCGTGCGGTGTGTTCTTTGGCTGTAACGTAACTGCCGTGGAGCAAAACTTAAAATGAATTTTTGGAGTGGTAGGGGCTGTCAAACCCTAGTCAAAAGACGGGTCGACTTTCCCAGTTGTCAATCCCTTTAAAAGACCACAACATATTGGTTTACCTAGCAATAGCACCATATTTTCTCCACGATGGTAGGCTGAATTTGAACGCATTTTCCGCGACACCACCGTAGTCAATCGTTGTGATACCGTGCCTGTAAAACATCTCAATTGTTAAGCTTAATTTTTTTAATTTTTAAGCAACGCGGCAGTTTTCAGATACCTTTCTGCTAAGTAAACAGCCGAGGCGACCAATTTCTCACCAGCCATATAGGTAAAGAAAAAGCCACCCCAGATTACGATGGCGATCGCTATCTAAACGAGACTTAATAAAGAGGAGATATACGAGATAATACATAACTACGATTTTACTAAAAAAACAACGTCCATAACCTGTACATTTTTTAAAGAAACGGAAAACTCTCGTCTGATGAAAAACCTACCAGTGATCCCCCTTCCTTGAAAGCCAGCGGCAGGGCTAAAACTCCAGTACCAACCAGCACCCGAGCAAAATTCATCAGAGCTTCATTTGCGCTAGAATTTGATACGTTCAAAATTCAGACGCACAAGCCAGGCAATTTTTTTACAATTTTCGAATTTTATGGCAATTTTAGCTTTTTTTATGCGCGAATTCTCAGTCAGACACGACTTCAAAAACGTAAATATGTTTGGTATTTCCATATATCTTAAAAACGGACCTTATTCCAGGGTGCATCAACTCTGTAGCAGATGATTTTGTCATTTTTGCAAAGAGCAAAATCGATTTTCAGATCCACGGGTCCCAGGAGCGCAATATGGCAATATGGATTGTTGCTTTTGGGGTATGCAGAGGCTGGGGTCAGCGAGATGAAATGAAATTTTTTTAACCCAGTGCATACCTCCCCGGTTTTCCATAAGCCAGCAGCGTCCACGCTTTTTATTATTTTGCTCGGAAGGTTAGGAAAGTGTGCTATGAACTTGCGAAATCAGGTACTGTTCTATTTCGCGGGGGGGGACAGTGCGGGGGGGAATGTTCTTAGTTTTGTTATAGAGGCTATTTTGGGTTGTAATTGAAACTCTTAGTATATTTCTTGACGCTCTATCGAATGGCATTAAAGGACCTTTGGAACGATATCGAAAATGTCGAAAACTCACTTTCGACTCCACGATCCCATGTGGAAACACCGAATAAACCTTGTTTTTGCTATAACTATTTTATATTACAATATTTTTAGCTAAAACAAAAATTCTTAGTATATTTTTTAATGCTCTATCGAATGGCGTTGCAAAAATCCCGAGAAAATAGCGAAAAGATGGAAGTTTCCGCCAAGCATATTCCCCCCCGCCCCGCGAAATAGAACAGAACCGGAAATCGGCATTATAAAATAATGATATTTATTTTGAGCTTTTTTTTTGAAGCCGTTTTCTTGTATTGTTGATCTAATGTGCTGAAATATTGTGAGAAGACGTCCAAGTATATATTTATTTGCAGAAACAATAAATAGTCACAAAAGCCAACAATTTCCGTTCGACTACCAATTACTGTAAATGCCAGCAATCGTGAAAAAGATGCCACAGATGAAAAATGCGCAATTTGTCGACATATGCAAAGCTAGGGATCGATAATCGCGATCCGCAAGATATTCGGGGAGGAATGTGGCGGTGTGGATGGCGGCTGGGATGATGAAGCCGAGAAAGCAGCCTGAAAATATTTTTTTTTTTAAGCTTTTGTGGTTCTTCAGAAATCTCTACTAGATTGCTCTCTACATGACGGGAAAATTAGCGATTTGAGATGCGAGAGATTCCTAAATAAACTATGATGGTTGTCAGCGCTGGCTAAGAATGACAGTAACGCCCTTGTTTCCAACAAAAAAAAATTTGAGGAATTCCTAAAGAGACTTTGCTAAGTTGCCCCAATTCCTGCGCAACAAAAATAATGACCTAATTGGCTTCAAGCTTTCGTTCCAACTTCCTAAAGGATCTACGCTAGTAGGCTTGCGTAAAGCGGGAAAAAACCAAAACTTGAAATCAAAGTAGGATTTGAAAGTTTAAAGGCCTCTGGAAAGATCGGATTGGTCAAAAAGCAAGAAGAGGTGCACCGGCCGGGGGTCGAACCAGGGATGGTCCGCTCCGCAGTCCAACGCGCTACCCCCACACCAAAGGGGTCGAGTGGGTGAGGGCGGCGGAGGGGCCCCAAGTACCCTAAGGCCGAATTGGTGCACGTTACTGGGCAACAATCAAAATAAAGCTATTTGCAAATAATAATAACGAAAAAACCTACGGAAAAGCTTGCTAAGGGCAAGGAAAGCGCTCCCTGAATTTCCTAAAGTGTCTTATACCTTTTCCGACGATTTTGGAACTAAAAAGCGCCCCAAAAACCTCTTTCCGCTCAGAACATGGCTGCCTTCTATCCAATCAGCCTCAAATTTTTATCACCGATGGGGATGGCTAAAAACTATTTTTATGGAAGTTTCCAGCCAAAAATATAGTCAATCAAAAAAGTTATGGCTATAGACCCGTTTTCGGGAAACCCAGTCGGGGGTTTTGGGGGCCCTTACGCGATGGAAAGCGTGCATGGTTTCGCCCCGTCGGTCCCTCACCCCTGGGGACGCCCGGCCATCTTTCCAAGGGTCTTTAAGATTCCTAAAGATTCTCTGCTAGGCTGCCTACCAGCTATCGGAAAACTGATCAAAAACTGGATCCTATCGTTCCTCAATTATCACGGCTAGCCTTCCCGTTGCTCTTACCTGCCGTAACTCCAACCAAAGACGTGATCCGGCCCAGATCCGGTACTAGGACGGCTAGCAAAACTAAAACAATCGACTAGCCAAAATTTCCGCCATTTTCTTACATGCAGCCAGCACGAACACTATGCACAACATCCGTTCAGCCGTCCCCGGGTAGTTGATCAGGAAGTTATTTGCACCGTAGGCATTCTAAAATGCGGATTATGATATTTTTTTCACTTACCTTATTTCTTAAAAAGCGAACTCACTTGTATCCGTGGCCAGGTCATGTCGACCAAGACAAAATGTTGGATCAAATAGGATGTGAAAACAACGAGAACAAGGAAAATGCGGATGATGAAGTAAAACCTACAAGTTCTTTCATAAATACGATAGACCCCCAGCTTACGTAGTATCCGGTAAATTCAGGGTTACTGATCCACGCACAGCATCACCGTATTTCAAGTAGCCAAAGAAGCCGACCAACGCGTACACTGAAAGACTAAATACGTCACGAAACAAAAAAATTGTGACATAGTCCTAAAGTTAAATCAAAACTTACAAATCGTAACGACTGAACAACCAAGAGATAAAACTCCTCGGTGGCCTGACATTTCTTTGGGTTCCTTCATTTTGTTCGCAAGGGGAAGGACCTAAAAGGTACATTTTCGCCGAGTCTTTTCACAAAAAATCTCGATTACGTTTTCCCAGCATCTTAGAATTTGGAACCACGCGGGTTTCAAAATTACGTACCACAGCATGAGAGCAAAACGCGTAGACAACGTTCCCGGCGGCGGCGATGATCGAGGGGAGACTGGGCGAAGCTAGATGTTGCCCAGAAGCGTACGGAGGGCGGACCAGATCCTGAAAAACGCCCATAACGGCCATGTTTTAGAGCAGTTTCCGGTGCACCTGTATCACCATAATCAACACAATTGTCATGGCCACATTCCCAAAGGTGGAGACATTCGTAATAAAACGTAGATCCCGAATCATCACGATTAGACAGCACCCAGCCAACGCCAAGCCAAAGAATATCGACCCAGAGAGGTTGTGGCTCGGAAAAATTCGCTCGGCTATCTAGAAATCAGAAAATTTTCATATTTCGAATGATGTCGTTATCGTTACCTCCTCAAAATGCTCCTTAATAAATACGGTATAAACTGCCGCAATGCCAAGCTGCATTAACAGGATGGAGCCGTTGGTAAAGAGCCTAAAAAACGATTTTTGGTTGCCGACTTTTTAACTTTTTGTAGATGAAAATAACAACAAATAAGAATAATCTACTTAAAAATGCTGAAAGTGGACAAAAATAAGCTATGTAAAGTTAATGCAATTTTTCTATAAAAAATACCTGGCCAACCACCCATAACGTTTTATCGAATCGAAACTGTGTCGAAATGCGTTTTCCGCTACATTACCGTAATCGAGGGATGCGTAGCCGTGTCTAAACAATTCGAATAGGTAGTTTTCCAATCTAAAAATTGCACCTTTTTGCCAAAGCCAGGGCCGAAATGACAATCTTCTCACAGCTGACGTAGGTGAAGAAGAAGCCCGCAAATAAAATAAGTAGGATGGCTACCTAAAAAAAATCATCAGTAAGCCTTGCTGGTTTCTTTTTTGTAGTTTTCAAGGGACCAGGAAGCACAAAAATCGACCCTTTCCATCTACTAGGTCTCGACAGCTACGCGATAGTCCAAATGACGCTTTAAATTACATAGGATTGTGCTCCAAAGGCTGAGGATGACCACGACTATCAAAAATTCATATGAAAATTAGCTTGAAGCTGTTCTTTGGATCGTCGCGTAGCTGACTAGACCTGGCCATTGGGTGGGTTGATTTTGGTACTTGCTAACGCCTTTAAAACCCTTGGTCACTTACGATTGTTCCACTTTGTTTGTACGCCAACGGCAATGCCAAGACCCCAGTGCCGACCATCACCCGGCAAAAATTCATCAAGGCTTCATTGCCACTAAATTCATAGATGATGAATTAGCGCATAAATAAAAATTAATTAAAATTGATCTATGGCTTAAATTAATTTATAGAAAAGTAATGAACAATTTAATTGCAATGAAATAATGCAAAATATAAAAACTAAATAAAAATAAAATCGATCCAAATCCATACCTAATGCCGCCTCTCCACCCCAACTGTGAGGTCTTGCGCTCGACGGGTTGATTGAAATCGAATGAAATTTTACCATTGGAATTCATTAATACAGCTTTATTTCTATAATGTAGCTTGTAATTAATTTGTTCAGACGGACCAGGCTTAAATGATCAGCCCTGTCCAGGCGGGAACACTAAAATATAATTTCCTGGAATAGTCGGTTGATCAGCGAAACCGTGCGAAAAGCGGTCGGCTCGGTTCGGCGGGCCTGAAATTTGCATAAACCGCGGAAGTTTGAGGCCGATTTTTGGTTTAGAAGAGGTGAAGCAACGCTTCTAGACAAATTGATGACAAAGCGGCAACTTTAGGACGAAGATTCAAGCCAGAGAGGGACCGAAAGGGCGAAATAGAAATTTAGAAACCCACGCAAATAAGCCTCAGAAAATGAAGTTTACAATCGTGAAATTATCAAAGGGATTTTCGCGTACAAATAAAAAATTACGTACAAAGAAGCGTGATTATGGGGGTTAAGGCAGGTTTATCAGCTCATTCTTAGAAATCGGCAGGGTTTCGGTCCAAGGCGTTCCAGGTATCAGGGCATTTTGGGAAAAAAGCTATCCTTCATTTTTCATCCATAGCCAATGATGTTCCCAAGAGTCGGGTTACATAAAAAAAATACATAAGAAAACATCCATAATTTCTAGCAATTACTGTAATATGGCAAGCCAAGAGCTCCAAGAAAAAGTTTTACTCCAGTCTGAAAATCACCGCTCATAAACATCAATCGAGATAAAACTGCGAATAAAGGCAACGGTTTGCTTTTAATTTTTGCGGAACCGACGGCTATGAACCGACTTCCGAAAGGCAAAAGAAAATGCAAAAACCGCATAACGATTTTTTTACAAAATGATGCTTTTCGTTAACGGTTACGAGTGAATTTCGATCGGTATGTTTGTCGAAATTTTAAGGAGCTCTAATTGCATACCAGATTCGCGTGGTTGGTAATTTTTTGCAACTAGGTGGACAAAGGTTTGAAAAAAATCAATTTATCGTCATCATAAAAAAATAGTAACCAATAAACTCGAAGAACACAGGATAGCACAACGCTTGGCGGAAAGGCACCGGATGTTTGGGGGGAGGATCAAAAAGATCATTATTAAATCGTGATTCAAGAAAAAAAAAACAAAGTGTTTTTGGAGGGTCAGCAGGTATCATTGCATTGTATGTTTGTGGGTGGGAACGGGGGAGATTTCATGTTTGCGCATTGCTTTTCCATTTGGGAAAATTGGGGTTGGGGGAACCAGTAGAAATTGGTCGATTTTCGGGGTGGAACAACGCATAGATCATCAAATTTTTTGGGTTTGAAGAATTTTCATCACCGGGGAATTGCGAGAAAAATAGATGGGAAAATATTAAAGCGATGATTTTCGATAAAAAATCAAATTAAAAATTTGCCAGTTTTGACGTTGTGGAGCTTGATTTTTAGGTCAAATTTAAATATTAAAATTGCTTAAGTTTATGAGATTTCGCAAATTTTAGAGCTCATTTTGCCAAATTCATCCTATATTTCCAAAAAAAAAACAATTTTTGAAACGTTTGAAACCGCTAAATTTGAATAAAGTGACTTTTCGACCAGTTTTGGCCCAAAATTTTTATTATAAATTAAAACTATTAAAATCCTGGCCGTAAAAATGAGCACGATGGAGCAATGAAGAGCAACCCGTAGAAACGTTAAATTTGTCACAGCAACTCAGCATATGTGTCGCACAAAAAAATCGATTGCATAAAACGGGTATAAAAATGGGCATAAATTATTGGTGTTTGGATTTTTCCACAAGGCGGGCGTATCGCGAATTTTTGTCGGCGAGGAGACGCTGCGGGGCGTCAAATTCGGCAAGTTCACCCTTTTCGAGCACCATGATTCTGAAAGGAAACATTGGAATAAAAACTTTCCTGAGGTCTAAATCAATAAAGTGATCCTGATATTTAAAACCCTTCAAAAAGCTAATTAAAGAATTACTAAATATAGCTAATAGATATCAAAGACACATAATTGACTTTTTTATTAAAAAACCGGCGCCCAAAACCCGCTTCGCGGGCCTTGGGCGCTGGAATGCGGCCTTTGCATGAGGAATTTGACTTTCCGATAGCTCGGGTCCTTCGGACCCCCCTTCCCCCCTCGACCGGCCACAAACGCGAGTGCAACTTGCAAGAATGAGGAGATTTGTATTTTTTCACATTATGCAAATCAGCCCTCCCGAACCCCCAAAATCAATAAAACCTGCTTTAACTTTGTAACCTTGTATTTTATCAAAATTCTGAGAACGCCATCGGAAACAGAAGGGTCGATTCCCCCGGGTGACGGAGAATTAAGGCATTTTGGACACGGGAAGGCCCTCAAATCGGGCCTCGAAACTGACATCCACACACACACACAAAGATACGCGACCAAATTATATAAGGTAGGATTCTCTGTTCAAAAACCCGTCAAAAATCAAGTAAAAATTAAGATAAAAACATAGTGAACTCACTTGTCATATCCAGCCACCGTATTCAGCCGATGGGCGATAGCGATTACGGTAGCGTCGGCAAATTTGTCGCGGATTACCTGGAAACAGAGGAAACTTTCCTTGCCGCTGTCTCTCTGTCTGTCTGTCTCTCTCTCTCTCTCTCTCTCTCTCTCTCTCTCTCTCTCTCCCTTCCATACCTGCTGCACAAGAGCATCAGTAGTCACATCAACAGCTGCCGTCGCTTCATCCAGAATCAGAATTTGGCCCTTCCGGAGGATGGCTCGGCCCAGGCAGACAAGCTGGCGTTGACCGACACTAAAATAAGGTTTTAAGCTAGTTGTATTTTACTATTTTACTATTTTTTAATATTTTGTAATGCGTCGAAGTTTTTAATAGAAACCTCATGTTCTTCCCTCCCTCGGCGATCTTGTAGTCCAGCTTCTCCTCCTTATCTTCAACGAAGTCCTTCAACTGGCAAGCATCCAGTGCTGCCCACAGTTCCGCGTCGGAATACTTCTCGAACGGATCGAGGTTGAAGCGTAGGGTGCCGGAGAACAGGACTGGTTCCTGAAACGTGGCCAGTTAGATGGCCAACTTCTTAGAAAAGCTAGGTTCAGGCAAGTTCACCGAGTTATAATAACTTAAAGTATCTGCGTTTACCTGGGGTATAATCGTCAATTTCTCCCTCAAGTCGTGCAGCCCGATGTTGTAGATGTCGACATTGTCGATCGTAATCCGGCCATCGACCGGTTCGACAAGTCGGAACAGACCGAGGGTCAAGCTGCTTTTGCCTGATCCAGTTCTCCCAACAACCGCCACTTTCTCTCCGGCGTCGATGGTAACCGATAGCGTTTTCAACACGAGTGGAAGACCTTCCCTAAAGCGAGTAGGTTAGCTTAATTAGCTGCATTCCTTGCAATACTTTAGTCGCCTATAGCTCAGAATCGACGAACCAATGAAAAAATGCAATTTTTACCTGTACTTGGTGGAGTACTCGCTCCAGTTGATCTTGCCGCCAGCTGGCCATTGCGTATCTGGTGGGCAATCCGAGCGCCATTCCATCTGAAAAGTGATATTAACATCTGTTTCATTGCAGCAGATTATTCAGCTAAAACATTTTGTCTTAATATATTTCTTAAGCGACGTAAGGTTTTCATACCTCCTCATCCAGCCCAGTATAATCCTTGATCCTCTCGACGGATACGATATTCGACTCCAGATCAGCCAGCATCCGCACGGCCATATTGAGTTGTTCCGTGATCTAAAAAAATATCTGTTTGCTCTGTTTTTGAAAAACGTAAAGTACGTCACTGATACATAGAAAAATCCATAACAACTTACGCTCAAAGCAAACGACACGGACAACCCGAGCAGACCGGGGCTGATCACGGAAAATCGGGTTGAGATGACGCCCATCAGGGCGGCGAGGAGCACGATGATGTTACCGAGGAGTTCGAGACTAAAATATATACATGAGAGAGCGTGAGAGAAAGAGAGCGAGAGAATGCGAAAAGGAGAGAAAAGGAGTGAGGGAGAGAGTGAGAGAGACACTTACCGTATTCCTAGCCATCGATTCGTGGCCATAGTAAGGTGTCGGCATTGAATATTCTTGTCGACGATGTATCCAAAGGAGTTGCAAGTGTCATCGACCTAGAAGTACTCTTTCGCTCCTCTCTCTCTCTCTCTCTCTCTCTCTCTCTCTCTCTCGCTTTCTCTCTCACTCTTTCGCTCTCTCTCACCTTGCCATAAGCTCGAATTGAGGTCGCGCCGACGATTGTCTCAGCGAAGGTGGACAAGATTGGAGCTCTTTTGACACTTTCTAATCTTTTCAGTTGACGAGCGGTGGGGACAAAGTAGCGCTGAAAAAATTAGAATACCTACCGCTTTCTCTCGCTCACTCACTCTCTCTCTCTCTCTCTCTCTCCCACTCTCTCTCTAAACCTACCAATATCAAAAAGTAGAAGAACGTGAGCGGGATGATAGCGAGAATAAACACCGGCGTGGAGTATGAGATCAGGCAAAGGATCATGAGCACCTGAAAATTATGATATGGTATTTTCTAAGGATTTTTCGATTACCTGTAACGTACACTGCGAGAATTGGCGAAGATTTTGTGGGAGTTGAGCATCTACAACCTCGAGATCCCGACTCAACCGGGTAAGGATCCGGCCGATCGGGGTCGTGTCGAAGAATTGCATTGGGGATCTGGAAATGAGGGTTTTAGAGGGAGTGCGACAACTTTAGGTCGTTAAGAATTGCACTAAGGAGGCGAGAAGGCGCACATTTCGACCCCTGGAGTGCCTAGGCCTCGACAACTACACGATACATCAAATTACATGCAAAAAGCGTATCAATTTTGCGATAAAGAACGCCAGCCAAGACAAGAGTGCTGGGCGAAAATGCATAAATTTTACCATGCTAAAACGCCAAAATATCGACATTTCGACAGTAAGAACACCGACACTCCGGCTTTCAACACTCCGATTTCCGAAATTCTGATTTTCGGCATTATCGTAAACCCTTTTAGCATGACTCGTATCTGTCGAGACCTAGTCGTTAGAATGGGTCGATTCCCGCGCTTTCTAGTCCCGTTAAAGGGACCGTGACAGCGATACCGTACCTGAGAATACTGTGCAAGAGAGGCTGGTGGAGTCGAATACACGCTGCTTGCATGGCCATCACTTGGAAGGTGAGGGCGAGGATGATGGCAACGACTAAATAATTCCAAAAATTGTCTTGAAAAAATGTCAAGCGAAATTAGGAATTAGGTAAAATTTAAATTAAAAAATATAACACGAGATTCTCGTTTAAACTTTTTAAAATCTTTAATTTCTAAGGTTTCGTACCTTCCAAAGCTCCCAAAAGTGTGTATACACCAAGTCGTTCGTAGACCGACATCGTAGTGTTTCTAGCCACGCTGGCTTCAGCATCGGACCACTAAAAAGAAATTGTAAAGTCTCTCTCTTTTTTTTCTCTTTTTCTCTCTCTCACACACTCTCTCACTTGCTCTGACTCTCTCTATCCCGCTCTCGCTCTCTCTCGATCTCTTGCTCTCTCGCCCTCGCTTCCTCCCTAGATTTCTCCCCTCTCTATCCCCCCTCTCTCTCAATCTCTCCCTCCTCACCTTCGACAACCAAATCGACCTCGCCGACAACAAGACGTAGTGCATCAACAGGAATCCGATAAATGACAATGAAAGCTTGAGCGTGGCGGCCTTCAAGAACATCCAGTACACGGATTTATCTACCTAAAAACGTGTTCCATCATATTCAAGAAGTTCAGCCTACCCTGCCGGTCGCAATGTGCTCTGGTTTGTTCATTTTCGGCTCGACAAAGTTGATCTTCTTGCCGCTTTTCGCTTTTTCAGAGACCGACGAGCTGAGGCGGGTTCGGCGTTTTCCGGGGATGGTAGCTGGGGAAGTGTCGTCAGGGTCAGAGCCTGAAAGGGAGAGGGATAGAGACAGAGAGAAGGCGAGAGAGAAAGAGAGCGATAGAAAGAGAGAAATAATTCCTTACCAGTCTCGCTGTCCACCTTCTCCTCGTCGAGCTGCTTCTGGGCCTTGTGGTATTCTTGGAGAAGCTCGTTGAAAGTGCCGTCAACAGATTTTAACTCGGAATAGGTGCCTTGTTGGATGATACGGCCACCTGGAAACGTTCAGATGGATCGCCTACTCTCTCTCTGTCTCTCTCCCTCTCTCTCTCTCTCTCTTTGTGTCCCTCTCACTCGCTCTCTCTCTCTCTCTCACCTTTCATCACCGCAATATTATCGGCTTCTTGGGTGTACTGAAGCCCGTGAGTGACCAGAATTCGAGTTTTCCCTGCTAGCAAACCTCGGCGGCTGATGACCTAAACGCGAAAGGAATCTTCAAATGCGTATCGCTACTTACCTTCTCGAAGACGTTCGTTCCGACGTGAGCATCTACAGCAGAGAGAACATCATCAAGGAGGTAGATGTCGGCTTCTTGATACAGGGCTCTGGCCAATCCGAGGCGGGCTTTCTGACCTCCAGAGAGGGTGACACCCTGAAAGGCAGAGTGTAGAGAAAGAGGTGGAGTGGGAGAGAGGGAGTGAGAGAGGGAGAGAGTGAGAGAGAGCGAGAGAGAGAGAAAGAGAGAGAGCTTCTAAGCCTACATTTTCTCCAACTTCGGTCAGATCACCCTGCGGGAAAATGGAGAAGTCCGGCTGCAACTCGCAAGCGTCAACGATCTGAAGCAGTTCATAGAATAACCAAAAGATTTTGCGCTTTCTTGGTGGCACTGTCCCTTTGAAATTCAGCCAGAAACGGAACACGAATTCTGGACGTGTCGCGGAAGCGGTGCGTTAGGCCTACCCACCTTCTTGTAGAAGAACACGTCAAATTTGCGCCCATAGACGATATTCTCGCGCATGCTGACATTTTGGAGCCACGGTTGCTGAGGGACATATGCGATGCGGCCGGTCAGCTTCACCGACCCGCCCAAGACGTTCATCTCGCCTAAATCATAATTTTGCACGTCTTGTTGCTCCCATAGGTAGAGCCTTGTATAATATCTTTGTATATTAAATACTAGCCCTTTTTTCAAAATTCTCACCCAACACTGCCGCTATCAAACTGCTCTTCCCGCTTCCGACTTGCCCAACTACGGTGGTCATCGACCCTACTGGGATCTCCAGGTCAATGTTGTGCAGATCCGCGCTGAAGTCGGGGCCTCGCCAGTTCATCGAGACCTGGAAAAAGAGGATTTGATTTCGTTGTAGGATCCCCGACATACCTGCTCCATCTGGATCGCAAAGTTCGGCTCGCTGCTGGTCCACTTGTGCTTGCGCATCTCCTCGGCGTTCAGGAAGATTCGAAGCCGTTTTTCGGAGACAGAGGCCTAGATGGGAAACTCTTGGATTTTGCGAAAAAACTGACCTGGACGAGGTTGTTGATGAACTGGGCCATAATCCTCATGGGTTGCCGGATTTGGTTGAAAATGGCTAGGGAGACGAAGGCCTGGAAAGAAGGAGTTAAAGTGAAAGAGAGCGAGAGAGAGAGAGAGAGAGAGAGAGAGAGATTCTAGTTACCTTCTGTGGTGTCAAAATGTTCTCTTCAGACCAGAGGACGTAAGTTCCGAACGATACGACGGCCACCTAAAAATGGGATTACATGGCGTAATTGGTTAAAACCGCTAAAAAATTCATGAGGAAATTTATAGACATGGAAAATATATTCTTAGATTTATCGTGAGGGTACCTTTTACTCTCTTCAAACCAGGAAATTGAGTTTCCAAAATTAGGCTACAGAGTAAATTCTGTTAGGCATCATAATATAGCGTAATTAGTTAAACCCGAGAAAGTAGT